TGCTGTAATCATTGTGTGTACTGAGGTCAGATGAGGCTTAGTGTAATATTCAGAGCACAGACTTTGGACTGGTAGGTTGCTGACTAGCCAAGTCAGTGGCTTGTGTCCTCAGGGACTGTGATTCCTCATTTTGGAAAGGGAGCTAGGACAGCACCTGCGGTATAGGGCCATGGTGAGCACTGAATGAGTTAATACAGAAACTGTTGAATGGGTGCTTGCTGCATAGTAAGCTATTTTATGTAGCTGCTATCATCCTCATCTTTGTACTCATCCTAACGAACCTCTGAAATAGGTCCTGTGGTTTCCTCTGTCTTACCATTGAGGGGGCTGAGGCTCAGAGGAGAGTTTTTCCAAGGCCACAAAGCTAAGAGGCAGTAAATCTAGGATCAGAACATGAACAGTCTGAGCCCTGTCTCTGGCTGTAGCTCTGTTCTCTTCTGCCTTCTCACTTTTTAATAAAGAAATAGCCATGCATTTTAGATGCAATCTGCGGTAAAGCAGCTGGGTCTGCAAGGAAGAGGTGAGTGAGAGTGGCTCTTCTACTAATGGCCCGGATTTTACCACCTGTTCCTCCAGATGAGTCTGTGCACACATTGACATGACTCTGGGCAGCAAACAGGCTGGGGGTCCATCTTCTGTTTGAATTCATCCTATCTCAGCTAAAGACAGCACCATCTGTCCTCTTACAGGTGCCAAAATCAAGAGCTACCCTTGACTGCAGGTTGTTGCTCTTCCCCTATTATCAACGCCATTGGATCTTTATGTTTTAAATAACCTGTAAATCCATCACCTTCTCCATGTCCAGGGCCATCCCAGCCCAGGCCACTGTCAGCATTTGCTTTCTTTCTAACCTACATGTGTCCATCCTGTCCATCCTTGCCCCATTCCTGTATGTTCTTCCTGTAGACAGAAGTAAAGTGCAAATCCTGCCATCTTATGCCATGGCTTAAATCAAGGTCTGCTTTCATTTTGAATTTGAGTCTGTCTGCCTCTAAAACCTGTTCTCTTTCTTTTGCCATCTTCCCTCCATGAACTTTGTAGGCGTTGACCTTGTTTTGAAAGGCTGAGAAAAGAAAGATTCTTAGGTGTCTAGTGGAATCCAATTTTCTTTGACCTCACTCATCAAATTCATGCCTCAGAGAATTAGGTCCCAGAATCTGCCCCCAGGACCAGATCTGTCAGTGGAACTCAAGTGTTCCACACAGATATATAGTACCTGATAATTTTTCTAGGTAAGGCGAAATATATTAATAATATAATAAGATGCATTTTCTAATTTTTGTTCAGTTTACCTCATCAGTCAAGCTTCTGGGTGTGTTTATATTGTCATCAGTTTGTATTTTTCACGCAGAATCCTGATCGAAGTAGATATTCACAAGCTGATTTCTATGCTTGATAAAACTGAATGCAGATAAAAGGGATTCTAAATAATTGCCATCCTGCTAATGGCGGATAGAAGAGACACCAAAGTAAATTTTCAAAGGTCCTAGATTAGCAAACAGCCCACAGGGAGTTGGAAGTTCCTCTATCTGTTTTCCTCTTAAAGCGTTTCATCTGATCACTTCCTGGAGAGTGCAGACAGGTTGTGGGGCAGCTCTGCCCAGGCCAAAGTGAGGGAAAATGAGCATTGAGGAATAAAGCCATCTAGAGTGTCATCCTTGGGACGATGGTTATAAGCAGATCTGATCTGCAACCTCAGGATGGAATTAATGATATCAGCTTCCAGAACAGAACTACAGCCCAAATATGTGCCTGCAGCTGTCATTTAGCACCTCCAGGCTTCACTGAACGGGGTCAGGCATTCCTGGCTTCACCTACATGTCTACTGACGAGCAAGCCTTTTGTCGGGAAGCATCCTGCATGGGAGCCACTGGAGCTGCTGTCATCCAGATTGTGTGAAAAGCTCTTCAAAGTGTGGCCAAATGGCCATGCTGATAGCATGTGCCCTAACAGTATTTTGCTTATAAACAAATTCCAGAAAACTTGTGGGAGAACTCTGATAAAAACAAAGTGCCCGGAGTTCTGACAGAGCAATCCAAGGTAAAAGAAGCAAAAAGGAAACATTGTGGCTTTTTTTGGAATGTGGATTTGTGCCTCTTAACCAGAGGGAGAAAATGCAGTTGCCCCTCCATATCTATGTGGGCTTGGTTCCAGGATACCCACAGATAACCAAAATCCATGGACCCTCAAATCCTTTATATACAGTGGTCTAGAATTTGCAAAGAACCCACACATATCTTCCCATATACCTTAAATAATTTCTGGTTTACTTTAATACCTAATAGTACAATGTAAATGATACGTAGATAATTGTTATACAGCATTCTTTTTTTTTTTAAACATTTTAATGTGTTTGAAAGGCAGAAGCACAGAGTGAGAGACAAAGAGATATCCCATAATCAATCCCGAAAATGCCCACTACAGCCAAAGCCAGAAGCTAAGAACCCCATCTGGGTCTTTCCATTGGTAGCAGGATCCCAAATACTTGAGCCTTCACCTGCTGCCATCTGAGGTGTGCATAGCAGAAAGCTGGAATTGGAAGCATAGCCAGGACTTGAACCCAGGCACTCTGATAAGGGATCCAAGTGGTGTCTTAACTACTGTGCCAAATGTCTGCTCCTATTTTTATTTTTTGAAAATTGTAGTTATTTTCTGCTTATTTGAAGGGCAGAGTGACAGAGAATAGGAGCAAGAGACAGAGACAGAGACATCTTACATACACTGGTTTACTCCCTAATTGCCTGAAACAGTTGAGACTGGATCAAACAAAAGCCAGGAGCCAGGAACTCCATCTCCCAGGTGGATGACAGGGACCCATACTTGAGCTATCATTTGCTGCCTCCTGGGGTGTTCATTAATAGGAAGCTGGGCTCTGTGTGGAGGCAGAACTCAATTCTGGGCACTCTGATATGAGACGTGAGTGGCCAAAGCATTGGCTTCACCTGTTGTTGCCCTATAATGCCCCCATCCCTTTTCTAAGTATTTTTGAGCCATGCAAGTTGAATCCTTGAATGTAAAACCTATAAATATAGAAGGCTAATGGTTATCTAAAACACTGAAAATGGGGAAATGAACACTGAACATTCTTCTATTTAGAGCCATGATAAGACACACTCTATGTATAGGTGGAGCTGAGTAATCCCCATGTCTTAAGCCTCCCCTAACATCACAGCTTGTGGGGAGCAGCTGGGCTCTGATCTGTTGAGACATGCTCATCAGGCCCCAAGTAGGTTATGCCTACCCTCTGTCTACTTGCTGGGAGATCTGTCTCTTAGTCCGAAAAGAACAGATGTCATTTTGTAAGGCTAGAAGGACGTACAATTGGGGAAGTTACACAGTAACCATGGGGGCAAGTTCCCCTTTGTGGAGAAGCACCCCTTGAGTCCTTTTTGAAGGACTCCGCTGCCTTGTAACTTGGGACAACATCCACTTCTGCTTGAGGAGAAAGGGTTCAGAACCAGTTGAGTCTTGAACACCTCCCTGTACCAGCAAACTTTCCTGGGAGGGCTAGGCCTGTGTTTGGGAGATGAAGGAGTGTCTTGTGTTCCATCAGGGTATCTGCTCAGGCTGTTCTCTGTGATCCTCTGTTCTTGTAATGCACGGAAATCCCCCCAGAATCTTACCCCTGACTCTCCTCCTCCAATTTCTCAGTTTAGCCATGCACATTAAACTTTCTGCACATCCTATAAACCCCAGAACAAAAATCTCTAAATCTGAGCAGTCCTCTCTGGACTTCTAAGAGAAGTTATCATTTCTTGTGTCATAAAAGTCTGCCCAATTCTGCATTCCCATGCGGTGGGGCTTCTGCGTCTCATGAAATGTGTATCCCTAGTTTCATTCATCCAGGTACCCTGCATGTGTGAATGAGAGCAAGGGCAGGCCCTTCAGAATTCCTCTTCATAGCAGTCCTATGAAGAAGGCACTGTAGGGGTGGAAAGGAGCGCCCCCCCCCCCCATAAAGGTCACAGCCAACAGTCCTCTCACAAAAGGTAGATTAACAAGGGAAGCATAACAAGTTTGTCTAATTGAAGTTTGCATGACGCTGGAGCCTTCAAAAGTAAAGACCGAGAGGTCCAAGAAAACCTTCCTATTTGTATGCTTAGGTCTGATGAAGAATGGGCAGCTATGCAGGAATGAGACTGGAGTTTAATCTGATAGTAACGGGCTGAGTGGGATCACGCAGCAGGGCCTGTCTGGTTGGATTCTTTTTGACCTCTATCTGTAGCATTCTTTTCTCTTGGGCATGGGGCAGAACTTTCTGGAATGAGCATCTTATGACCTATCAGACACGGGAGATCAGAGGATTTCTTTATGATGGTGGAATACTGGAGCAATAGTGGCAGGCTTTATGGCTGACTTGGGGGAAGGGAAGGTCCCATATCTATGGCCTGCCTTGGGGAGAAAGGAGAAGGCAGGAGAAAGGGCAGTAGACAGAAAGAGATTACTTCAGACACCCTTCCAGCGCCCTCCAGTTCAAAGTTCTCAATATGCAAAAATACCATCTTTTGGGGTATTGTTTTCTGAACCCACTGCACTGCTGACGTTCCATTTTTACAGACAAGGATGTGGAGGGTCAGACATGGTGTATAAGCTGTCCAAAATCTCAGAGCTTTGGACCTTAACATCCAGTCAACCTGCGACCCCGCCCCCCACCCCGAACCCTCACATTTTTAAGCCTGTGCTCTTCTGGGGAATGAAACCCAAAGGACCTGAGGGGAGGAGGAAAAGTGAGGCTAATGCCACTCCATGCAATGTGTCTGGCCATCCAGCATCATGCCTGACTGTGCCCGGGGACAAATTCTGTGTGTGCAGGTTGTCAGGTGGAGGCACATCACAGCACTCCATGTTCTGCATAGGCCCTCGCTGGTAATCTGATGCAATCAGAGTTTCCCAGGATGGCTGTTGCTACAGAGAGGCGGAGAGAGAAGTTTCGCATATTGTTTTTTTGATCAGCAGGTTTGGAAACTTTGAGTGTTTGGCTCACAGGATGGTGGAATCACTCCAGCATTTCCTGTGGCCTCCAGTCTGGGTTCTATGATAGGGAACTGGGCCTGGGCTCTGCCTCCTCCGCTGGGGAATGTCTGTACACATCCCTGAGTGACGGGGCTTGCTGGGAGGAGGGGAGCACTCACTGGCATTACAACAGCTGAAAAGGAATTTGAAAAGCAAATATCCAAAAACCAGAACCAGGGCGGAAGTGTGTGCATTAGTTTGCAAAATAATGAACTTTGCAGCTGAAATGCTGATTCCCCAAGTGGAGAGAGCTTGCAGGGAAGGGAAGAGGACTAGCAGCCCAGCGTGGGGCTCATCCTGTTTTTGACAGAATTTCTCCAGGAGGAAAAGGAATCTGCAATCAGCCCTGCTCTCACCTCTGAGTGGCTCTGCTTCTATTTCTGTCCAATGAGACAAATGAATAGTTGCTACTTGAAGAAATGCCTGAAGGTTTTTGGGTGAGGAATCGTGGATTTTAAAAATGCATCATTGGCGTGAATAACTCTTCACAACCTTTTTTAATCTCTCAGTTTGCATTTGAGGAAAAAGTGATGTATGCGTTCATTCATTTACTTGTCTGAAAAATACTGAGCAGTTCTTGGCTGTGTCATCTGCTCAGGACTGGAACTACAGAGATGAATAAGATGTGATTGCTACCCCTGGGACCTCACAGAAGCTCTCGGGATAAGGTGTGGAAAAGAGATCTGGTAGGTCATTGTAGGATCCCAGCAATCCCTGCCAGATTCTGGCGATGCTTCTGGCTTGGGAGGCTCTGGGGTCAGGGAAATTGCTCAGAGGTTGGCTTTGAAGTCTTGGTGGGAGTTTTGGAATCAGACTCAGAGGAGAAGAAAGGCCGTTTGAGATAGAGGGGGCATTGTGAACAATGAACACGACATGACATGCTCAGTTACTGGCGATCCATTTGCTGAGAAAAGAGATAGCTAACGTTTGTCACATGTTCTCTCCATCATCGCTCAGAGCATGGCACCCTTGGAGAATAATGCTGACCTTGCTAGTCTGGGGCCTGCCTTCTATAAACAGTGCTAGCAGCAAGCCCTGCACGTGGACAGTTGAGTAACATCGGGACAAACAATCTGCTGTGTCTGCCCTGATTGCATGTACATGGGGGTGAGAGGGTGGGGAGCAAGGGAGGACGTGGTTGGGAAGATGCACTGGTGGCACTTGGAGGCAGGCTGTGAAAGATTTATAAGCAATGGGTCCCAAGTCATTATCCACAGGTTTAATGTGGAGAGTGAGGTGTTCACGTTCAAGTGATCACAACTACGTGTATTTCTTTCTTTTACTGTTTATGTTCTGTTAATTTCTACAATCATAGCTGTGCTTAAATGCTTATGTGAACTGGAAAGAGTTACTCCATAGAGTTGGACTGCTTTCCTACAATTCCAGGATACAGGTGATGATAATTCAATATGGTTCTAAAGGAATGACTTTTCTCTGCCACTTTCCATTGCATTTCTGGCCAAGACTATTCGGCTGTTCCTTTTTTTCCTGAGATGCAGAGAAGGCACACAGCCTCAAAGCATCATTTCCAGGAGAAACTAGTGCCACGGAGTATTCCGTGCAAAAACAAAGCAAAACAAAACAGCCTCTGGAGAGATACATTTGAAAAACATTATAAATTGCATATGGAGATTTCACAGCATACATGCAGCTACATTCAAGGCCCTGAGAAGTCCTGACAAAAAAGAACCCTTTCTCAGAGAATGCTAGAGGGAATACAAACAAGGGCTGTGGAATCAGATAGGCGTGCCTTGCATTCAGATTGGGCTCGGTTTGTGGATGGGAGATGGTCTGCACGTAACCTAGTATCTGCGCATCTTGCTTTCCTTGTCTGGGAAACAGGCTATAACAGTATGTCTTCCATACTATTGTCATGAAAAATACACAGCACATGAACTTGTTATTTGTACCTCTCATTCCAGATTCAGTGTTTTCCAGGAGACTTGCCTCTATTTTGCATTGCACTGATTAATATCTCAGAGAAGTGGTGTTGTGTGGGCAGTGCAGGAGTGAGACGAATTCCCTAAATCCATGTGTGTCTCCTGTTAGCTGTCCCAGAGAGGAAAGGGCAACAGACATAAGAACTCTGGAACAGGAGAGCAAAGATTGTTCTCACTTGGCTGCAAGGTTGGATTAGGCGGCTTCAGTGTGTGTTTTGTGTGCCAGTCATCCAGTGACAAGATTATAACTCGGGGCAGTAAACAGATATGGTAGGGCTGATGTGTTAACAGATTTCGGGCACACAAGTAACAGAATCCCAAGTCACAGTCCTTTAGCAGAATGGGGTATTTATGAGGTTGTATATCTAGGAAACATATTAGGATAGCTCAGAGAATTGAAGGAAGAGGTCAGGGGTCAGAAACGCACCCTTCAGACTCTTGTTCTCTTTCCCTCTGTAACACCTGTGCCCTTGGCTGGTCCCTGCTTCTCTTTGCCTCATTCCATCCTGTTGCAGACGGGCCCTCCCCAGGTGGAAGGAACGTGGCTGCAGACTCCTTCTTCCCGGGCCTCTGCAGTCAATCTTCAGGAGTCGATTTGCTTGGATCCTGTGTCTGTCTTTTGGACCAGGCACTGGTGTGAGGGAGGAGGGCAGTCATTGGCCCAGTCTGCCATGTGCTGGTTCTTGACCAGTAGCCAGTGGGGAAGGGCCTGCTACTCACAAGAGAGATGGAAAAGCTCTCAGGATGGCCAAAACCTGAAACTGCATATGTTCCCTAGAGCTCTGTGTAAGGAGAAAGTGCTGGAGTAAGATGTGATGGACTTATCCTCAGGCAGTGTCTAGCTAGGCATATTTTCAATTTGAATTCCCTCATCTGTTTTTTTTTTTTTTTTTAGCAACTTAAAAAAGTGTTGTGTTTATTCAGCTGATACATGTTTAACATCTATCCCCCCCCTTTTTGCAGTTAAAATATTAATGTTTATGACTGTTAAGGTCCACTTAGTGAAATTTATCTCTATAAATGAGTTCTTTTTATAATTTACTAATTTATTTCAGAGGGAGGGCGAGGGAGAAAGAGAGAGACCTTTCATCCACTGGTTCACTCCTCAAATGGCCACAACAGCCAGGGCCTGGCCAAGCTGAAGCCAGGAGCCAGGAACTCCACTCTGGTCTCTCATGAGTGACAGGAACCCAATTACGTGAGCCGTCCCTGCTGCTTCCCAGAGTTTGCGTCAGCAGGAATCTGGAATCAGGAATGAAAGCCAGGAACCAAAGTCAGGTGTTAGATGTAGGTATCTTTACCTGAGGCCAAGTGCCTGCGGCGGAATGCAGAAGTTTTAAGTTCCTTTGCTTCAAATCATCAGTTGCTTCCTCATAGTTTCTGTCTTTGATGTTGTGTTTGTTTCCCAGGGCTGCTGTGAGACGGTGACTTAGAGCGAAGAAATGATTTCCTCAGTTCTTGAGGCTAAAAGACCAAGATCATGAAGTCATTAGGAATTGGTTGCTTCTGGGGCTGTTTTTCTGGCTGATACAAGGAAATTTCAGTAGACTCATGGGGGAAAAAAAAGAGTATTATATAAAAACTGTGCATAGATTTCTAGTTGTTTTTTGCATCGTAAACTCACCTTAAATTTCATTTTTCAATGAACACTTTGAAGTCCTTTAATTGGTGGCTGTCTTCTTGCTGTGTCTGCACACATCTTTCTACTGTTCCTGTCCGCATCCAGGTTGTATCTTAAAACTAAATGTGGACTCCAGTCCTGCCGGGTTAGGGCCCACCCTAAAGACCTCATGTAACTCTCCAAGTACAGCCACATTCTGATGTACCTGGGGCTAGGACTTCAGCAAAAGAATTTTGGAGAGACATAATGCAACCCATAAGAGGCATCTCCAACCCTTGGAGAGACCTCAGGCACCCTGCGAATATTTAAGATTTAGTATCTTCATTAGTTTGCTGCCGATAATAACAGCTCTCACTCAGGGCTGTAGTGAGGAGTAAACGACCCAGTGCCCAGGCCAGTGCCTGCTTTCAGCTCCTGCCAAAGCCCCTCTGACATCTGTCCCACAGGCTTCAGGATGATGTGAAAGCATAGATTCCATCATGTTGCAGTTTTCCATTATGTTGCATGCCAACAGTAGTCAATAATACATTTTCCCACCTGGCAAGTAAATGGGCTGAGTTATTACTAAGATTTCCATGGGTAGCTTTTGTCAATAGCATATACATAAAATACATTATTGTGCTTCCACATTTAATTCAGTTGTCTCCTGATTCTTTTCCCCCTAAATGCACCTGCGTTCCATTCTGAATGCATAATGTTCCCTCAGTTCTGAAGCGTTAACCTTCCTCCTTGGCTCTCTGCTGTCCCTAGAATGGCCATCACGTCCTTTATAGATGCAGAATCCAAAAGAGTACTCCCCATATTTGCACCCGTCTGGCCTGACAAGTGTGAGGGGCACATGCCCGACACTCCTGCCCCTACGGCCCTCCCTGACAGACATTGCTTATCTGTAGCACTAATCAAGAGGAGTGGCTGTCACTCCCTGAACCATTTTGAAAAGGGAAGTGAGGGTCAGTGTCATGGGTAGCAGGTTAAGCCACCATCTGTGATGCCGGCATTGCATGTGGGCTCTGGTTCAGGTCCTGGCTGTTCAACTTCCGATCCAAGTCCCTGCTAATGTGCCTGGGAAAACAACAGAAGATGGCCCAGATGTCTGAGTCCCTGTAGCTACATGAGACATTTGGATGGAGTTTCAGACTCCTGGCTTCAGCATGACTCAGCCCTGGCCATTGTAGCCACTGGGGAGTGAACCAGTAAATGGAACATCTTTCTGTCTCTGTTTCTTCTTCTTTTCTCTGTAACTCTCCCTTCAAATAGATAAATACATTTTTTTTAAAAGGGTGGGAGGAGTAAAGACAGGGTTCAACAAGCCTGGATCACCACAGCACCCTGAATAGGGTCAAGCTGACAGTGCCTGTCCCTGTATTTTGGACCTAAGTAGTAGAGTATAGTATTGTGTAGTATAGAGTGTAGTATAGTATTGCCATAGTATCACTGCATTTGGAATAAAAGGATGCAGCACAATGAAGAGAACAAAACTTTCATCCATGCCTGTTGCATGGGTCTTCCAAGGTAGAGTGTACCATGCATGGTGGGAGTGGCATCCTTAAAAGTGTAAGCAAGAGAAGTCCAGCAAAGCTGAGGAGAGTGGATGGGGTGAATGGAAGGCTGCTTTTAGTAGGTGCCGTTCCAAAGAACATTTCTTCTTCTTCATAACTAAGCGAAAAGGGAAATGGTGTTTTCTAACAGGCACCTCTCAACATTTACTTTTTTTTTTTTGAAGATTGATTTATTTATTTGAGAGGCCAAGTTACAGAGAGAAAGGAGTAGTCCATCTGCTGGTTCACTCTCCAAATGGCTGCAATGGCCTGAGCTGGGCCAATCCCAAGCCAGGAGCTTCTTCCCAGTCTCGCACATGGGTACAGGGGCCCAAGTGAGCCATCTTCCACTGCCTTCTCAGGCCATTAGCAGAGAGCTGGATTGGAAGTGGAGCAGCTGGAACACCATCTTATGGGGTGCAGGTGCCACAGGCAGAGGCTTAACCTATTAACACCACAGCACTGGCCCCACCATTCAATATTTAAAATACAGAACTAGTAGTTCCCTCCCCAAGATCCCCCATGATCATCCTAAACTCATTATCTATTGCCAGTGGATAATGATGGTTAGTGGTGTAGAGGATAAC